CAGCCTTACTGTTTTCAATTAAGTAGACTTTGTGTTGATGTCGACTGTAATGGAACTCAAATGATATTTATACCTGCCAGCTTTCATATCTAATTAATGAACATTGCAGCGCTATCAACAACCGGCACGCGTTCGTTGTAGGTATTCACAAGTGCTAAAGTTTTATAGCTTTTAAATGACTTCTTTTACCCAAAGTAGCAAGTGAAAGCATCGCGTGACGACCTGACGTTCCCCATTAATCTGTTTTGAGGTGCGTGCGTATTTTCTTGTCCCATATTCGATACAGACTATTTCCATTACCGGGTACCTGCCTTGGTTATTATTATAGCGCCTACTTTGTCCAAGCCTAAGATCATAGGCATTAATCCGGACATTATCTAAAAATACGAATGATGAAAAAAGTTCAAAATGTTTGTTTTAATATTTGCGTAGGCACTAATACTCTGAAAATAGTTCCCATTAGTTCTTTGTTTCTTAAAGGTCACTTTTATCTCGGGAATATACATACATAATAATGAATTATGATGTCAAAGGATCATAGAGAGACGAGGACTCCTTGTTGACATTATGTACATATGTATTTATTGGTATAGCTAGCTAGATCCGACTAAGTTTGTTTTAGACTCCATTAATTACTGGAATCTGTGGTCGCAATCCTCATCAGTGAGCGACCGAGGAAGAAGAAGAAGACTCCATTATGTCTAATAACTTCACTATATCTGTAAAACGATCCGCCCATCAAATAAAATCTGAGTAAATGTGACTTTTTAGTTTTATTTCAGCGATTGTCCTCAATAAAGATCTATAGAAAGATAGATATAGAAAGTGTAGACTTTTAGGTCAGTCTCACGGGACGCATTACATTAATTCGTTAATCTGATTCTGAGACTGAAATGTAAATTCAGGCTTGCGGACTGCGGATTCAGTTGTTACATTTAATGTAGTAAGACTAAATCAAAGAATCGGAGAAAAGTTTGAACAATCAAAATGTTTTTTATTTAAAAAAAATTGGAGATTTTCATGGCAAACATAAACACAATTGCAAAGACTGAATGAATAACAACTAAAGCGATAAAAATTAAAGAACAGCCCAACATAACAGTTTTCTGCTGCAAAAAAAAATTGTCCACCTTTTCTTAAGAACCACTCACGCACCTTTCATGGGAAGATTCCTTTCTGAATTAGGTGAAAACTTTAAGGGATTATTCAAATTTTATTCGTTAAGTTGTCGAAAGAGGAACGCAAAAATGAGAGGGAGATATCTGAACATAATATCTGGAGAAGAAAACTGTGTTTTAAAATTTTCAGCATATGAATGGAGCAATAAAATAATACTTCTTACGAATAGGATAGGAGATATCTGGGGCTTCCAAATAAGTTTTGACAAACATAGACATCCCATTCAGTCCAATCACAGGCAATTTCATCAGAAACTACTCATTGAATAGGCTTGAAATTAAACAAACATGTAGCTTGATGTCAACGTTAAAAGAGGAATGTGTTGTGATTCGGTATGTAGGAAAAGTAAATCGAGTTTGCCAATAGTTTAAAGACAAGCCTCCATGGTCTGCTATTAGTAAATTTTACAGTGTAGGTATACCTAAATACCAATTTTTATTATTTTTTTAATTGCGAATATAACCTGCTACGACATAAAAAAAACGTTCATTGTCGCCGTTCATTTCAGTCGTTACCTTATCTACGTACCTTACAATCCCCGCATTTATACGCAGACGGGGAATTCACGAACGCCGGCGAAGACAGAGGTAAGTAGTTCATTAAGTTGATAAGTAACTACCGCCCATAACTTATCCGTACGCACACACTGTAGGTACACGTCACACACGCGTGAAACCCTTTATGTGAGGGGACATTATGCGATTTATTTTAACGGACCGCCGTCGCTGCAACTCCCCTCCGTTCCAAGTTATCAGACTTTAGTACCGTATTTGGATTACGTGGGCGGTAAAAAGCAATTTACGTCAAAGAGAACGATTAGTAACCATAACGATTTAATTGTTGCTTGAATAAAATCGATAAGATTTATAGGAACAGAAAATTATTATCATCGCATTTTTAAAATCAGTTATTACTTACCTAGTGTACCAAAAGTTAACTAATAACATGTTTATAAAGCAATTCACTAATTAAAAACCGATTGCTAAGAAAATCACAACGTTATGACAAAAATAATTTAAGCAAATAATAATATCATTCAGCATGGTTTTGCCTGTACCTAAATCAGTTTTTAACATTTTAACATGACTTTGTTTCATAAGAACACTAGACAGAAATAAGAAAAATGTTGCATAAACAAAACCAATGAAACACGAATGCGTGGTTATAATAACAAAACAGTCAACCATAATACATAATGACCGATAACATGCAAGCTACAACTGCAGAAGAAAGCTACTTACAGTACAATCCTTTGCCGGCTTTGAAAACACGTAAACGTTCGCGTTACGTTCGTAGCGGAGTAGTCGCTACACGCTACGGCGTAGACGGCACGGGCGGGCGGCGTAGCCAATGCGCGCCGACTGCCGCGGAACCCCCCGCGTACGGCACTTCTGTTGGGCAAGGAGCTACGAATTCAAGCTACAGGGTTTTCGACAACTGAAATCGTTAAAACAATATAGTAGGTGGTTGAACAAAAAATGTAGTTAAAAAATAAAAAAATATTTTGAAAACATAAATGCATATTAAAAATGTATTTTACTGTAACTAAAACGGCGATAGCAATTATAGCAAAATTACGAAACATATTAACCTAGTTATGTTGTTTTTGTAATTGTTTTGAATTGTATTCTGTGGTGTAATCGTTTTGTATTGTGGTTGTGCCTTTAGATAATTAAATAAATAATATAGTTATAATACGTAGCAATGTAATTATAGATAGTATGAACATAGTACCTAGTAATTTTAATTTTAACGACTCGCACCATGTTTTTGTAATTCTGTTATTTCTATCCATTCATTGTTTTGGCAAGTTGCGGTGGCAACCCTGTAGGTTACGATTATAGCCGTAGAATACTGATATCTACAAAAGGCTGAGTGGAACTCTTAAAACTGATATCAATCATATTACATAGATGCTTACTTGAAAAAGTAAGTACAGTCACGGAATGAAAAGGTTCGTCAGTTTTCAAATTGATTCCTTCAACGAATCGCGATCACATATTACCTTTTGAAACTATGTTACAGAATAATCTCGAGTTAGAGAAAATAATCTTTAACTGTTCGTCAGTAAAGTTCAAAATTATTCAGATCAAAGTTGTTTGACGANAACCCTGTAGGTTACGATTATAGCCGTAGAATACTGATATCTACAAAAGGCTGAGTGGAACTCTTAAAACTGATATCAATCATATTACATAGATGCTTACTTGAAAAAGTAAGTACAATAGGTACACTCAAGTTGTACAATTTGCGACTACTACTAAACACACTATCAATATTTGATCAAATATTGATAGTGTGTTTAGTAGTCGCAAATTAAAAGTATCAATACTTTTCTGGTTCGCCGCCGCGGAGCTCCCTAATTTGGTGGTACACGCACACCTTTTTTAACCAAAGGATACCATTAATCATTAATATTTAACCAGACACCACACTTTTTGTGTTTGATACTGTTTTTTAAAGTTAATCGCTTCTTGGTATTAAATAAACCTGTTTTAAAAATTAAGAATAATATTAATTATTATGTAGACATAAAGCCATTTAAATGTTTTTCTTTATAATAAAGCAATCTTCAAGCAATAAAAGCCCATCGAATTTAAAGTGCCACGTGATGCGGAACATAATTTTATTTACGCAGTAAAAATCTTAAATCTGTTAAAAAGTAAATATTCATCAGACAATTCAGTTTGTTTTAATTCACATTTTATTTTATTTTTATTTTAATATTCATTTTTAGGAAATATACAGTTATAAATTATACAATATAATTTAACTTATCTGAAATCTATTGATGTGGACTGTACGCCCAAGTCTGCTTATTCATAGAAAGACTTGTTATTATTCAAACACGACTCAAAGTATTGAAAACAAATATGGCCTAGCTCGAAAAAATGGACTATTGAAACATGAGCTTTCTTTGTCTTATTGGTAGAGGGAAACATCTTTTTCGGATACCTAATCCAATAAGTAATAGGTATTGATTTGCTTCCTTTTACTTCTCGTGTGATAGTGTAACGTAGTTATATCGGCAATCAAGGCCAGAAGCCACAATCAACGGCTTGTGGCGACTGAACTCTAATGCCCCGGGGTGTGGGAATAGGAAAATAAACGTATGGCCTCGAGGTAGTGATGGGCAACAATAATTGCGCTAACTCATTGTTTCAAAATGTGTTGGCGCGCAATACAGGACTAGGAGGACTCGAAAGAATATGTTTTTACACAATTTGTGTAACTAAGTGACTAAGGTCGGTAACAAACAAGTCATCTTGTGGCTTAATTTTAAAATTCAACCAATCAGAAGCTTCAAACTCGAGATTAATTTAGTTTTGAACGTTGTTCTTTATAAAGTACTTTAGTCTTTTCTGCAGAAAACTAGGACTCCTTTTCCGGGAGGATTATTTCCGGGTTAAAAGCAATCTACAGGAATGTTAACCCTTCGATTGAGGACCGCCTAATAAATATTAATTTATGCTCAATGGTTGTGTTCACATTTTTACAAGACGAAGGCATCTACTAATAAAAATAATATTATGTATAAAAAATATGCAATATATTAACGCGCGCGCCGGATATAATTAAATTCCATATTAGTATTTTTAGATTCCACCATACTTTGTGGTTTTTTTTATGTGTTTGTGGTAGGTACATTATAAGAGGTTGTGTATTTTATTGTGTACTTTTCCTTTTTACAAAATGACATAAAATACCTACCTACATACAAAGGACGAATTTCGCCGAATTCCTGTTTACATCATGAAAACAATATTTTAAACTTTAGCTAGGAGGTACTAACAAATAGAGATAAATAAAATGTAATGTTATTATTTTCAACATTTATTATAAATAAATAACAAAATATAACATCGTAATTACGTACTGCAACAAATAACACAAGTAGGTTGGTAAAACCCGTCGTTGCCTATCGAATGGCGTTGTGAGAGATGAATTTCTTTGAATTCTATGACGCCGAAATCGTAATCTGCGTATTTTCGCAGAATCTCAGAGCCATCAAACGTTACTCGCGGTTGCCTCGAGTTTCTAGAAGTAGATGAGAGCGAATCTTCTCCACCTTGCGCCGCCCGACTTCTGTATTTAGAGTTTATTAAAGTTACGTGCAGTTTCACATTATCTCTACCGTGATCTTTTTCCATGTAACCTGGAAAAAGTAAAAGTTATTTTACTGAATTTAATACGGCTTGATTCATTTCTCACATTTTTTTCGGTGTGGTTCTTTTAATCAAAAGAAGATACAGACATATTGAGTACAGTACTCAAAATGAGATACAAAAATTCAAGCAATGAAAGACTAGTGTAATCCACATCTCCATATTTTTAGATGTTACTATATCTGTGTCCGAAAAGGTAGCTAACATGAGTTAACATGACCACCATGAGTTTTTATTATATTACATACAAAAATCTATAACTCACCTGCTTTATAAAAGTGACTGACTAAGCTATCGGCCAACTTCTGAATGAGACCAGTGCTGGCTCCCTCTTCCTGCACGCGACCGTACAGCACATCGATTTCTCGCGGGTCGTCGTTCATGTATGACAGACCCTTTAGTCTAATTTTAAAAGGTAAATAATCCTCCAGCATAGGTCTGAAATTAAATATGGATAAAATATAGAGCCACTTTTTTCATAAAAAGTAGCTCTATATTCTCACTTAGTGGCGTGTGGAACTGCTCAGTGGTCATACATTAAAAAAATGAGAATAAAAGGTTAAAAAAAAATTGGAAAAGAGGGTTTGATGGGATAATACACCACTACTTTTTTATCACCGGAAAAATTTTAACAGGTTATGTAGTAATGTGTGAAAAAGATAAAGTAAAAAAAAATTTAAAATTTTTATATAGTTAATTTTTTTATTAAATTTTCTTTAGTCCCTATTTTACGCGTCACAGCTGGGCCACTCCGCTGCTCGTTCATTCAGTAGAGTACTCGTACGCGCTCGCACATTGATCTGTCTGTCTCGCTCACGCCTTGACCACGCTTCCAGTGTTATTATTACTAACTTAGACTATTTTAATGCAACATTTCAAGTAATTTTGAGTTCTAATAAGTGTTTCATTACACTTACGTACTTCTTACATACTTACAAAATAATTTTCTCTTTAGCTTCAGTCAACAATTTTGATGCCAAAAGTCTTTCCTCATTGTCCATCAAACACATAACTCCCAATGTAAGATGTAATTTGTTGGGTTTAATAAATAGTGATTCATCCAATCCTCTTCCTGGACAATCACGAAGTACATTGTTCTGAACGAAAAATAGTATACATATAACATTAGCAAATAGGGATAACAAAGTGATCATGACATACAATTTACAGTAAGCAAAAAGTAAAATTAGTACTGTACTGTACATAAAATAATTAAGTATTTCAGGTAAAATAGCACCTATGTATTTACAACAAGATGTCACAGAAATAAAGTATAATGTTAAGCTTGATGTGCCTATACCTATACCGTGATCTACATTATACCTTAAAAGTTTCAAAGTTATTCATTATATCTGGACTATTCATTGGTATAGATATAAAATGTGTAGGTCTCTGTTTCATTCTTGAAGACATCACTATAATATTTATTCTGCGTCTAGCTGCTTTTACACTCTGAAAATAAAAAAAAAATTAAGTTGTTTGTAGCAAATAAAACTTATTATTATAAAGTTTAAAATAAAATTGTCAGTAAAAATAATGCATTATTAAGTCATAAAAATGGGTTAATTAATTTAATATGAACTATTAAATGTAAAAAAGGAGTGTAATTAATAAATACCGATGCACTTGACCCAAATATGACGATATCTCCAGTTTGGCCCTGTTTAGGTATTTTAATGTCAGTTTTTGTGTCTCTTTCAACTCTACATTTTACTGCCCCTTTTTTGCCAATTATTGCGCCGATATAATGCCTGAAATAAGCAAGGACTATGTCTAAGACTTCAAACACAATATTATTGCAGCATCTAAATACATTATCATAATAAAAAAGGTATAGATATAGTTTCCGGCTGTCAAACAGTTCACAACGTAAATTGAGGTTCCTGATTACAATCGTAAATACACAGTGCTAAAGTGCGCGATTAGTGTCGTATACCACTGAAAACTATAGTTAACTGGTGTAACTTTAACCACAAGTGTTATCTTCGCTGAATATCAGGCGCAAACGAGAAAATTCCGCGTGTGAAATATTTGAGAAATCATCCAACAACACAGTGACATAAAAATCACTTGAAAACTACCCACTTAGCCCCAAACAAAATAAAGAGCGGTGAACGATTTCCGGCCGACTGTCACAGGGTCAGTGTTGCCACAGCAAAACTATTGCCAGGAACAAAATAAATCTACCAAATAGTAGAAATGGACTTGAAAGTGATACTAGCAAAAATGGAAGAAATGAAAACAAAAATTCGTGTTTTTTTGGTTATTTGATAAATTTCTCCAAAAAATGCCCCTATAACAGGTGGTTTTTATTGTTGTGTATTATTTTCTATTGTATTACCTTTGTAAAACCAAAAATTGCATGTCTCTATCCCTATCACAACATTTGCTATGATCGTTTGAACTAAGCCTCTCCGGGCGCGCCATTCAACGCTTCGTTAACAACGAAACTGAAAATGGCTCTAGATTTGTAATTTTGATAAAGACAAGTTAGATTTCAAGTAAAATCAAAAGATTTCGAAGTAAAATAAGCATTTTAGTTAAAATTAAAATTGTCCCTACCTGTAGAGGAGAATAATGTTGTGGTAGGCCTTTGTTCAAACTATCATAGCCAATGTTGTGATAGGGATAGAGACATGCAATTTTTGGTTTTACAAAGGTAATACGATAGAGAATAATACACAACAATAAAAACCACCTGTTATAGGGGCATTTTTTGGAGAAATTTATCAAATAACCAAAAAAACACGAATTTTTAAGCAGATTTTTTTCAAAAAGTATCATTTTTTATTACTTGTTGGCATTTTTTGTGCATTGTATGTATTTTTTTAGTATCGTCTGTTATTTAGCATTATTACAGTTTTTATTTTATCAGGATATACCGCTTAGTTTAAAAGTTATTACGTTTTCTTTACAATAAGTAATTGAAAGAAAAAAAATCTATAAAAAATTAAAAAAAAATACTCAAAAATTTTTTGACCTCTTTTTTGTCGATAAAAATAGGTCTAGTTTCATCTATTTTCATATGTACACTTTAACGTGACTCACACTGTATATTTTCAGGTAAAATAGCATCTATGTATTTCCAACAAGATGCCACAGAAATAAAGTATAATGTTAAGCTTGATGTGCCTATACCTATACCGTGATCTATACCTTAAAAGTTTCAAAGTTATTCATTATATCTGGACTATTCATTGGTATAGATATAAAATGTGTAGGTCTCTGTTTCATTCTTGAAGACATCACTATAATATTTATTCTGCGTCTAGCTGCTTTTACACTCTGAAAAAAAAAATTAAGTTGTTTGTAGCAAATAAAACTTATTATTATAAAGTTCAAAATAAAATTGTCAGTAAAAATAATGCATTATTAAGTCATAAAAATGGGTTAATTAATTTAATATGAACTAATAAATGTAAAAAAGGAGTGTAATTAATAAATACCGATGCACTTGACCCAAATATGACGATATCTCCAGTTTGGCCCTGTTTAGGTATTTTAATGTCAGTTTTTGTGTCTCTTTCAACTCTACATTTTACTGCCCCTTTTTTGCCAATTATTGCGCCGATATAATGCCTGAAATAAGCAAGGACTACGTCTAAGACTTCAAACACAATATTATTGCAGCATCTAAATACATTATCATAACAAAAAAGGTAACTACATAAACATAGTAATTTGTAAAATTTACTTATTAATGATAATGAAAATTTGGTCGGGTTAAGCAAGTATAATTTTTTTAAATATTTTTCATCACATTTAATATAATAACTTACTTAGATACATGAAAACTTGTAGTAAATCGGCTGTTATCTAATAACACAACATCAAAATTGTCATCATCGTCATCAGCATCATTCACATCATCATATGGTACATCTGAAAATAATTAGAAATATTTTAAAAGACCTGCTTCACGGTAGTAAAATAGATCTTTTGATTTTACCTACTTTAATTATTACTATATCTACGTACCTACCTATATCTAGTCTAGATTTGGTGTAAGAAAAAAACTATTAGGTATATAGTTCCAACCGAAAGCACTTTTATGCTCCAATTAAAGATGAATCGGGATAAATCTACGGACACTACCTATCTTATTTAGGATTAAATGAATTATGAAAAACAATCAGCAAGTAAACAACAAACCATTTTCATACAAATCGTGTTCTTGAAAAGATGTTAATTCGGTATTGGAATCATTTATTCGGTAACACCTTCCTTCTATCCATAGCAAATCAGGTTTTAGGATGTCAGTCATAGTTTAATTGAAATTTTCAAAAATTGGAAACGAAGAATAAGCTGGAATACGCCACGGGAATCCCAGTGACAGTCAGTGACAGTGACAGTGACGTAATACGAAGTCGCAAAAAGTTGTCATCTGTCATTGATGTCTGTCAATCTCACAGATATGGATTAGAGTAGATACAGCAAGTTGCTAGTCAAAGCGTGCCATTCCGATATGTCCAAATGGACATACATGGTCGAGTGATGTTCATGTAATCCGATTACAACAATCGGATACGATGATTTTACGAGGACAGTAGTACGAACACGGTAGAGAGAAGAAATTATTTACGGATTGAGAATTGTAATTAACAGCAACGAGTAACAAATATGTAATTAATTAGAATAAAGTAGAAGTAGAAGAATTATAAAACAAGTTAGATCAGTGATCGCGGAAGACAGAGTGCAATGTATAACGTCGAAATATACAAATCAAGAAGTTAGGTCAGTGATCGCAGTATACACTATTACTAGTCTATGTATACGACGGCCGAGATTTTGTCGTTTAGAAATATCTTCAAAACTAGGTACCTGACTTAGCTTTATGAAAGAAAACGTATTGGCAAAACTACGCATTTTTACATTTATTAAAAATAAAAAACTTGAGTAAATAGTCTTTATTTTATGAAACTAGGTCATTTATTTACAAGGATATTTAAAAGTATTGAATTACTAGTAGTACTATTTAACATAATGGAATAACGATCATTACTTTCACAAACATTAGGCACAACAAAAATATTATTTGCAAATTAATAATGTCGGTTGAGAATTGTAGAATAACGTCTACCACTACACAATAGGGTATTTGACACCACCAATCAATTGACGTACTTTTTAAAACTGTCAAAACGACACTCTCCCATAGATTTTGTACGGCAATACTAGCATGTGACGTCACAATTTTATCAACTCAATGAAACTACTTTTTTCAATTATAATGCAACCAAAAATCGTAATTTACAGGTAATTAAAAAATATTTAAGTTTTTAAGACCAGAAACAAGTGTCTTTTTTAAAAAGTTGTGGTTTAGAATTATTGGCGAATGGTGTCAAATACCCAATTATTTTAATTCACTTCAATCTACTACTAGTCTGACTGACTAGCTATAAATTTAACAAAATATCAGTTTTATCGGGATTAATTAATTTTCGAATCGAGTCACACGATATCATTCGATGACTTTGCGAATGCAGTACGATGATACGATTACTTTTACGTTGCGGCAATCACTAAAATTCGCTAAAATGACACTAATGACGTTTAAAAAGTGGCACGCTCGGCTTCATACAATTTTTGACACATGCTGCATCTATCCATATCTGTGGTCAATCTGGTATGTCGCTTTTTTTTCTTTTGCAGGAAAAGGCCATTACGATAAGCCGTATGTAAAAAAATATTAAGACTGGGTTGTATCCCAGTCTTAATATTTTTTTACATACGGCTTTCAGCTCCTTGAAAAAATCGTTTTGCCTAAGGCGGGATTCGAACCCAGAGCCCCGATTACGGTAACTTTTAACGTTTCAAAACAGCTGACGTCTGTTGGTCAAAACAGCTGACGTACGCTGTTTTGATCATTGCGCTGACCAATCGTATCGCAGAATCGATGAAGCGCGTCTGGATTGGAAACGTTAAAAGTACAAACAAAAAACGCGCTGAGCTTAAACAGTACAAGAATTGCCGTAGTGAAGTGATTTCTGCACAGTACTTACACCAGTACACCAATATTTATATACCTAAGATAATTTATTTTTAGAGCCAGTTACTGATAATTTTCTGGGTAAATAAATTTTGCAGTGCAGCGCAACTACCTACCTAGTTACGTAAATCGAAACGGTATTTTTTGTTCAGTATTATTAAGTAAATATGTAGTTCTCAACTGACTGATATGAGCTGACGTTGACTGACAGCTGACTGTTTTGACCAATCGCATCGCAGAATCGAAGAAGCGTGTCTGGATTGTAGACGCTAAATATTACCGTAATCGGGGCTCTGGGTCCATAAAGTTAATATTAACTTTATGTCTGGGTCCGAATCCCGCCTTAGGCAAATCGATTTTTTTCAAGGAGCTGAAAGCCGTACCAATCGTATCGCAGAATCGATGAAGCGCGTCTGGATTGGAGACGTTAAAAATTACCGTAATCGGGGCTCAGGACCTTTCTCTTGCTTTCAGCTTCGTCCAAAAGTTTTTTGGTAATAATTATTACGGCAAAAATATTTTTATGGCCAAGTAACGTCACTAGTGATAATAGTGAGGTGCAATGATTAGTTCGATGAATTAATAATTTTGAAGAAAAGTTCACTGTAAAAGTTAAAACTATTGTTGACTGATCAAATAAAGCCGGGTCTCCAGCGCGTGTATTGCCCTGCAATCAACAAAAACATTCAATATTATTTTGTACGCAATTTGTAGGGCAAAAAACGTGCTGAGCTTAAACTACAAGAATTGCCGTAGTGAAGTGATTTCTGCACAGTACTTACACCAGTACACCAATATTTATATACCTAAGATAATTAATTTTTAGAGCCAGTTACTGATAATTTTCTGGGTAAATAAATTTTGCAGTGCAGCGCAACTACCTTTAGTTACGTAAATCGAAACAGTTTTAAATTTTTTGTTCAGTATTATTAAGTAAATAGTTCTCAACTAACTGATATGTGAGATAAGCTTATCTTAAATGTTCAATAACATAACTGGTTCGTTACCTTATTATTAGTTACATTCATTCATAATACCTACGTTGTTGTTAGTGTATGATTTATTTTAAATAAAAAGTGCTAACTTAAATTAGAAAAATGAGTAAACCAGATTTTCGGAGGTCTACAAGTACTTATTATAGTACAAATTACCAATATACATTCGTTCAAAATAAAGAAAACGGTAAGTTATTATGACCTATTTTAGTTGTTGTGTTGATCTAACTTCAAAATCAGAACAAACTAGGATGTGGTAGCTACGAGTGTGGCGCCGATCATGGCTCCGATGCGCACCTTGACAGGGTCGACCTCGACCTCATATTTTGTTTCGAGCCCCTGTTTATAATGGTGCAAATACCATATTATGTAGGAAATTGGTCAAGACTAAGACGTGATAGTGTGAACACCATCTCGGTTGCTTTCTCCTTCCCCCACCCGTGCGTCGCCCATACTTCGGTGTGCGGGCTAGCGTTTCGACTTGGACAAAATTCCGCATAGAAATCTTATGCAAAAATCTCACCTAAAATCTAAAAAATAAGTCCAATGTTTAAATGACCATTCGGGATAGGATGACACCACGATGACACCGTGATAGAGATTGCAACCCGGTATGTTACTCAACCCGGCCGGGCCCGGTTGCATTCGTCGCCAACCCGGCCGGGCCCGGCGGACCCGGCCGGGTTGTGTGTTACCAATGAAAACTTTAAAGTATTTTATGAAAATTTTCTATACGTGTTCCTTTTAATTGCCCGCAACTTTAAGGCTATGCTAAGAATAAAAACTAGTTAAAATGTCTTAAGAACAAGATTGTGTTCCTAATCGCATATTTTCGAAGATACTTATATCAATCTTATTATTAGTTTGTTCCAAAATTGACACCCAGTTCTTTCATGCAGTCTTTAAGTAGGTACATAATTTATTGATAAGTTATTTATCTTTATTAAAGTAATGTAAATAATTTATTTATTTAAGTAAAAATACACGGTTTTACATGGTTATTTAACTATGGCGAATTATTTTATGCGTTCAAGGTAGAATCAAATGACGGCGCATGATTGGGAAAGTCGACCCCGCGTAACGGAATATGGTGAGGCAGAAGAGAGGGAATTATTTTAATATGAAAAAATAAGTAAAAAAAAATTGATGAATGATGAATTTTTTATCTTAATATCCTAGGGTTACAGGATATTATCAGGAGCACGTTGTATATGAATGGAAAAAGACAATGACTCAATACCTAAGTCATAAAATCACACTTAATACAGAATTGAGTACTTTACATGAACGGAAAAGTAACATTAGTATTAGTAATTATTCCTTTTTTATAAGTTTATACAAATAACGCAGCTTAAAATACCAAACAAAACAACTTTGATAGATAGATAAACTTTGTTAGATTTAGAAAAAGTCATAACAACTTTGATACCGAGATTTGCGAGATCGAATCAGAAATGAGGAGATCCGTAAACGAACCAAAGTCGCTGACATCTTAACCCGACGTATTAGCAAGCTGAAGTGGCAATGGGCAGAGCCCCGATTACGGTAACTTTTAACGTCTACAATCCAGACGCGTTTCTGATTCTGCGATACGATTGGTCAAAACAGCTGACGTACGCTGTTGAACGACCAATCGTATCGCAGAATCGAGAAGCGTGTCTGGATTGTTGACGTTAAAAATTACCGTAATCGGGGCTCAGGGCACATAGTACGCAGAACTGACGGCCGATGGGGCAGAAAGGTTCTGGAATGGAGGCCGCGTACCGGAAAACGCAGCGTGGGACGTCCACCTACAAGGTGGACCGACGACATCGTAAAGGTAGCAGGGAAGCGCTGGACGCAGGCCGCTACCAATCGATCAACATGGAAAGCATTGGGGGATGCCTATGTTCAGCAGTGGACGTCCTGTGGCTGAAATGATGATGATGATGAAGAANGTCAAGACTAAGACGTGATAGTGTGAACACCATCTCGGTTGCTTTCTCCTTCCCCCACCCGTGGGTCGCACAGTGGATCGAAATTGCTATAAAGTGGACATAGGGATTTTTTCCGGAAAATCGAATTTTATAAATTGCCAATCGATAGTCCTTTGCTCACTCATCACGACATGTTATATCACATTTTTCTCTAAACCTGATACTTTAGTTAAAAAAAATAATAATTTGTGTTTTTTTTTGTATGAAACGAGACATAAAGTACTAATTTTCTCCGAAGACCTGCTAGATCGTGACTTGAAACAACCTAGGTCGGTATAACTGCATTATTTACTAATATTCTAAGCTATTTCCAGCTGCTCCAAACTGCAACTTGGCCTGTTAAACGATTCCGAAAAAAATTTAAAATTGA